TTGTATAGGAAATTAATTTTTTCATTATTTTTGTATAATAAAGTTTTGCCTTTGAAAACTTTATTATTTGTACAATAGTGGAAATTATATAAAAAATCAATCAATAATTAGGTTGATTAAAATAAAGAGTTATTTTTTAGATACAGATGTATTCCCTTCCTAATCTTAATTATTAATTTGTTTGTAAAATATAAACAAAAGAAAACTTCTATTTAGAGAAATGGTTTACAGGGATAGCAAAATGTTGTATTTGGGCTATTGGATATAGTGTGAGGTTAATTTGCTTTGTCCCAAATAAAGCCGCCATATATAGTCATAATAATAGTCCAGTATTATTAGGAAAGAGAGGGGGGAAAAGGAGGTTGCCAAGAGTGGTAATGCTAACTCCAACATGGAGAACACCCATGACAATGATAACAAAGGGAAAGGGAAGAAACATGTCATATTGGAAACCAAAAACAACCATGGTTTCAAAGTTAAGAAAGGGGACCACCCTTTCTTTAGAGTTACTAGATGTAAAAGAGGGCCTAATAAATATGTTGAGGAGGAGGAGGAAGAAGAGAAATTTGATCCTCCTCCTCAAGAGGTTGATACTACCATTGACAAATCTGTCCGCATTATTAAAACCTCACTTCTTGATACTTGTACGGATGACGTGGTGGTGGACATGGATCCCGTGGATACCCTCCACCCTATTCATCAAACTTAAACATCAAGATGAGGTGGATGTTCCTACGATTAAGCTTGATCATAATCTTAGGATTGTGGGAGATATGGTTCCCGGTTTCAAATTCACCAAAACTTGTTTGGAAGGCCTCCCCAGGGTCAAACCAAACAAGCATGGTTATGTCTACTCCTCCAAATTCTTAAAGGGTGTCTTAGACATTACCTTAACCGTTACTTTGAGGATGGCCATCTACAAGGGAATGCTTGTAAGGTCAAGGACCTTAGAAACGTCTCTAAAGACTCCATCCAGATTGTTCATGATATCCAAGAGGCTTTTCTTGATGATGTGGTGGTGAAGGTTTACCTCAACCTTGAGGATAAGCCGTGGATGCATCTTAAACATATTGAGGATGTTAAGGAGGACTTCACTAGACTTGATGACTATTTGGACACTACTAAGAATCACTTGACGAAAGGCATTAACTTCACCATAGAGTGTTTGAGATCTTTACCCGGACTATATCCCACGGATGAGGGGTATGAAGTCTCCCCCCTTTTTATGGAAAAGGTCTGTTTCCTTTTCTTGGATAGATATAAGCCGAAGGGTAATTCCAAACCTAGGCCGAGAATCTTTGTTGCTAGAAAGTTTGAAGGAAGGAGGAACCTTAAACATTCTTAATGTTTGTGTCCTCTTGGAATATTAGAGGTCTTAATAAGACCTCAAAACAAAACTCTATTTGCTCCTTCATTCGTGTTAATAATGTGCATGTTTTTGGTTTATTTGAAACGAAAATGTCCTCTCCTAATTTCGATAAGTTCATGTCCAATAGATGGCCTAATTGGCAATCTAAGACTAACTTTGATATGATTGATGGGGTAGAATTGCTCTTATTTGGGACCCTACTTTTGTTGGCTTGAATATTTTGGAGGTTGATTGTCAACACATCCATTGTGAGATCTTTTGTAAGGTCATCCAAGAAACTTTCCTTGTGACCTTTATCTATGCCTTGTACACGGTGGTGGAGAGAAGAACTCTTTGAGAGCACATTGCTAGTTTTGAGCCCCATATTAACATGCCTTGGCTTGTTATGGGTGATTTCAATTGTGTGGGTTGTCCTAATGAAAGAGTTGGGCCTACCCCCCCTTCGGCTTACTATATTCAGCACCTTAATGACTTTAAGGTTCAAGCTAATCTTGTGGACACTCCTTCCACGGGGAAATTCCTCACTTGGAATAGAGGGTCTCTTTGGGCTAAACTTGATAGATTACTTATGAACTCTTCTTGGGCTAGCAACAATATTACGTGCAAAACCCATTTTTTTGAGATGGAGGTTGACTTTGACCATTGTGCTTTGCTCGTTACCATTGGCCATAATGCTCTTGGAGGGTCTAGGCCTTTCAAGTTTTTCAACATGTGCTTAAACATGAGGCGTTCAACAATATCCTTACCAACCATTGGTACCAATATATGTATGGCACTCCTCAATTTAGGCTTGTCCGTAAACTTAAAAGGCTCAAAAGGCCTTTGAAAGAGCTTAATTTCAATGCTTTTGGTCATATTTCCAATAAGGCTAAGGAAGCTAAAAAAGAGTATAAGAGACTTCATGCTCTTTCTCTTCTTTCTCCTCTTGATGATGATATCAAATCTGATGTCACCCTAGCCAAGAAGAATGCTCTTTTCTTCAAAAGGGCCGAGGAGGATTTCTTTAGACAAAAGGCGAAAGCTAATCATTTACTACTTAGTGATAGGGGCACCAAATATTTCCACTCTATTGTCAAAAAGAATGTGACTAAAAACTCCATTACCTCTATTAAATTAGATGATGGTAGTTCCACCACTTCTTTGAACCAAGTCGCTTGTGAGTTTGTTAAATTCTATACTGATCTTTTTGGTACTTACAACCCTACTTTGGACATTGACCCTGGTATTATCCTCTCGGATAATTGCCTTGATAGTAGCAATGCTATTGAGCTTGTTAACCCTATTTCGGATATGGAGATTAAGAATGCTCTCTTTGACATTGGAGATGATAAGTCTCCTGGCCCTGATGGCTATACCTCTGCCTTTTTCAAGCATAATTGGAATATTGTTGGTCATGATTTTTTGTTAGCCGTGAGAGGTTTCTTTAACTCTGGTAAGCTTCTTAAGCAGCTTAACCATACGGTTATTGCTCTCATTCCTAAGACTACTCATAATCCTACTGTGGCTGATTTCAGGCCTATTTCTTGTACTAATGTCATTTACAAGACTATTACTAAGATACTTGATGCTAGAATGATCCCTTGCTTACCTGAGTTGATTGATCCCTCTGAAGGGGCTTTTGTTGATGGGAGGCTTATGCTTGACAATGTTTTCCTTGCCCAAGAGCTTATCAAAGGCTATTCTAGGAAGCGTATGTCTCCTAGATCTATGATTAAGGTGGATCTTAGGAAGGCCTATGATACCATTTCCTGGGATTTTCTCAATAAAGTCCTCTTGACTATTGGTTTCCCGATTAGATTTGTAAACTGGATTATGGAATGTGTGTCTACACCTTCCTTCTCCATCTATGTCAATGGTGTTCTTCATGGTCATATCAAAGGCAAGAGGGGGCTTAGGCAAGGTGACCCTATGTCCCCCCTCCTCTTTGTGGCTTGTCTTGAGTACTTTTCTAGACTCCTTCACCAAAGGACTAAATTGCCTCCTCTCAAATTCCATCCCAAGTGTGGAAAGCTCAATATTTCTCATGTTGCTTATGCCGATGATCTTTTGCTTTTCTCTAGGGGTGATTATCCCTCTATTAAAGTCCTTATTGATGCTTTGGATGATTTTGGTAATGTTTCAGGCCTTAAGGTTAACTTTGACAAGTCTAACATTTTCCTTGGTGGCCTGGCCGAACATGATCTCTATCATATTCTTAATATGATTGACTTTAAGGAGGGGTCCTTCCCCGTGATGTACCTTGGCATTCCTTTGGCTCCACTGAAAATTGTTGTTGCTCAGTATGCTCCTTTATTGGACTCCATTACTGATTTTATCACTGCTTGGAACACTAAGACCATCTCTTATGCTGGGAGAGTTAAGCTTATCAAGTCGGCCATTCAGGGTGTGCATTCTTTTTTGCTACAAGCACTCCCTCTTCCTAAGGCGGTACTTGATAGGATCACTTCTATCTGTCGTATCTTCATTTGGGGGTGTAAGTATGCTAGAGTTGCATGGACTGATGTTTGCCTCCCTAAGGAGGAAGTTGGTCTTGGTATTCATGATACTCATGTTTGGAATTCTGCTTTACTTGCCAAAACCCTTTGGGATATTCATATAAAAAAGGATAACCTTTGGGTTAGGTGAATTCATGGAGTTTACCTTAATGGGAGAGGTGTTTGGGAGTTCACACCTCATACAAGGGACTCCCAATTGATCAAGAAGATTGCATTGATTATAAATCAGATCCTTTCCCATTTTGACAATACTAATGATGCCATTACTTTTCTTAATGGATGCCAAATTAACGGGAAGTTGTCCTCGGCCATGGTTTATCACCTCCTTAGAATTAAAGGGGGAACTCATATGTGGATGTCTTTCATTTGGAAAACTACATTCCCCCCAAATTCTCCTTCACGACTTGGCTTGATTTCAGGGATCGACTTGCTACTTTTGACAATTTACATAGATTGGATGTTGTTAATATTTGTCCTTTGTGTAAGGGTGGCCCGGAAACGGTTCCACACCTTTTTTTGCTTGTTCTTTTTCAGGTAAAGTGTGGCATAAAGTGAAAAGTTGGATGGATATACCAAGGGAGATGGGGACCTTGCATAGTGCGCTCAAATGGATCAAAAGGAAGAGACAAGGATCTGGAATCAAAGCTAAGGCGGCTAGGATTGCTTTTTGCTACTCCATCTATTGGATTTGGTGGACACGCAATGTCACTTGTTTTGACGGATTGACTCCTAATGATGAAGATGTTTTTGCCAAGATTCAGTACATTGTGTATAAGATCTTCTATAGCCTTTATCCCCATGTGTTTATAGGGTTTTGATTGCCTTTTGTTTGACCTTCGGCTTGTTTGTTCGGTTGGCCTTTTTGGGGTTTTGGCTTGTTTGCGGTTTTGCTGTTTTGTTTGGGCTGCTCCTCCTTCTAGGTGTTAGGCTCGGATTTGGCTGGTTCGTTGTGCTGGTTAGGGTTATCCTTGCTCGATAACCTACATTTTGTTTCCTTTTTACTTGTACATTCTCTTACTCCCTCTTCTCTTGGGTGATTGATTAATATACTTACAGTTTACCAAAAAATAATAGTACAGTAATAATATTGTAATTTGGGCGCGGCTAGCAAATACTAAGGTGTTTAGGGCTATTTTGCTCCGATTTAGGGCTTATTTATTTAGAAATATGAATTTAGGGCTATATTGCCTTTAACCGCACCTCGATTTCTCAACGAAAGAGTTCGTAACTGTGCATGCTTACAACTTTACTTTACAAGCTGTTTTCGATCTAATGTTAGCCATCTTTCTCTCCGAAGCAGAACTGCATGGATCTAATAAGTCAACTGCCAGAAGATGTAAAACACAGAATACTAGAGTGTCTAGATACTCGAGAAGCGGCCAAAGCTGCTCTTCTCTCAACTCAATGGAATGATGTTTGGTTGCGACATGGCCGACTTGTCTTTAGCGATGAGGTCTTATTAGGAGAATGTGAAGGCGTTAGATGCTCGAAAATGATCACTAATGCTCTGTTACTCCGTCCTGGACCGGTTAAGAAATTCACTCTGGACACTTCCCTATGGGAACCTGCTATGCAGCAGTCTGATTTAGATCTCTGGTGTCGTTCTCTAACAAAAAATGGTATAGAGCATCTTAACCTCACTATTGATGCTCAGGACATGGGTGATAAGTACACACTACCTGTTTGTATAATTTCCTGCCCGACAATCAAACAACTGCAACTTGATTCTATTGATATTTGTTTGCCGGGCAATCCTCGACCGGGTAGTATGTTTTCTGGCGTGACCTCTTTAAAGTTCACTTTCGTTGAGTTTTACCGTCATGATAGCCTCACAGTTATCCCTCATATTCCTTATCTTGAGGTGCTAGTGTTCTGGGATTGTCATGGGATAGATACGTTCGTGATCAATGCTCCAAGACTTAAATACCTCAGCTTCAACGATGCTCGGTTCGTGGCTGAATGGGAATGGATTGAGCTTCATTTTCGTGTCATTAAGACTCTTATCTTTGGTGCATATACGTTTTTGGTGAGAATCATGCCTTCCTAACATGTTGCACCATTCATAAAGAATAGGCCCCTGATACATATGTTTTTTCTCTAGTCTCATTCAAGGTTAACCAATTGCTTTGTTTTGTCTTTGACTTTATAAAGTATAAGACTGATGCTACAATAAATATCCAAGAGAGGCTTCCAATTGCTACAAATCTGCAAGTGATTAAGCTGCATGCTTTTAGGTTTGCTGATGCGAATTGCATTAATCTTGTTATTCAATTGCTTCGGAAATGCCCAAAGCTACGCAAACTGGAGATATTTATATCAAACTATCAGGTTGTAATTTCCAACAATTACCCGTCTTTTTTTGTGATTAAGATCGAGATCTTTATGTTCTAATATTTTTTTAATTCTTGTCATGTAGTCACGTTTGTGGGGTGAAGCCAGTCCATCTATTTTGAGAGATCTGGACAGTTGGTTTTGTGATCTGGATCTCGGAGAGCTTAGAACAGTAAAGATGAAATCATTTAACGGATCACGACAGGAAATGCTCTTTATCAAATTAATTATATCAAAGTCTCCCTCCCTTGAGGAAGTTTTAATTACGGAATCAGGCCGCATTGATACCTCTGTGGCTTTAAAAGTACTAACGGAGATGATCTCCTACCCTCGTGCGTCGCCAAAAGCAAAGATTGTTTTTCTGCGACCTGGCTAGGCGCTGCTCTATTTTCTGAATATTAGGCATTTTTAGCCCCTTATAAGGTGCATCTCCATCGGTTCTGCTTGCATAGGTTCTACACAATATATTTGGTGATTTATGGTTTCTTCTATTTTCATAACCGCATTTAAGTCACAGGTTGTGTAAGTTACTTTATAACTTGCAATGAGCGTGGGAAACTGTAGCGCTCTTGAAGTGATATCAAGTGATATATAAACACATATTTAATTCACAGGTTACAAGGTTCTACTTTTTACCAAATAAAGAGCGTAGGTAATACTTCGTATATGCTATAAAGAAGTATAGCACTACTAGATTTCCTGGATTATCTGTCTTTTGTTGGTGTTTTTGTAACCTTGTAGTATTCCATCATCCTTGTGGGTTTGTATTGTTTCTAGTCCGTGTTTAGAAAATAGGTTTTATAAGCTGAATCACTGGAGCTTGATAAAAGTTTGACTATATCGATGCTGATATGATCATACTCGATAAGTTACACAAGTCAGAACATTTAACAATCGCAAAACAAGAGAAATACTAATGATGTAAATTCTTAAACTGTGCCAAGTGAACTTCAAAATTTACTTAAAACAACTCTTATTGTCTTGGATAACAAATCCAACCAAACTGATTAGTGTGTAAGAAACGCATTAGTTATGAAATCACTTTTGATAGGCTATATGAATCATAGAATCGTAAGTAGAAGATAGACATTCATTACACCATATGAGCACGGATAGAGCCATTGCTGGTATTGAATACATTGTTCATCAACGCAACATCATTTTGTATTCAATACATCGATTCTTTCTCTCATTCTTCTCTATTTGTTTTTCATTCTGTGACTGTTGGATTGTTGGGATCTAATCATGTCAATTTTATTTTTTATTCCTAAAAGTTCTCTCTTTATTTTTATTATCTTAAATCTTTTATTCTCTTCTTTTGTCTTCTTCTCATTTTTATTCTTTTCCATGTTTATACATTCAATTTTTCCTTCTTTTTTCTTCTTCTCTTTTATTATTTCAATTCAATGTTTATGTACTTTTTCGGATTAGTTCCCTTCGTGAAAAGATATTTTTCTCACCCTACTAATTTTTTATTTTACTTTCTTTTTACTTCCATTATTCTTTTCTTTTTTATTTTTCTTACCTTAATTCCACCATTAATATATTTTTCTATATTCTGCATCACCATATTTTTCTAAGTGATTCCATTATTAATTCTATCAGCTATGATGAAAAACTTTCAGATAAAAAAAGTGAAGAAGGAAAATGAAGGATAAAAAAAAAGAGAATTGTTGCAAAGAAAGAAAGAGAAAAGAAAATATAGCATGAATCCAATAAGTCAAAAAGCCATCTTCTTTATTGTACTATGAATGTTAGAATAAACATTATTTAAAACTATCTATATGGGAGAAAAAAGTTGAAGTATAGCTTCTGTAACGCAATAAGGAAGATCAAGATTTGAGTATTAAGATAAACTAAAAATGCAATGAATCTTTTGAGTAATTACTATTATTATTTCCAGTGCTTTCTTTTTTCTGTTAATATAATAGCACATGATTGTTTTGACTCATTCTTGGCAAAGAGAGAACTTTATTGGAAGGTAGATTCTGATTTTCTAATGTTAGTAGCCTTAAATTCGAAAGATTCCTAATTGGCAAAAAGAGAACTTTAATTTAATAGCCAAGGAAAGTGAATTGAGTTGGAAAAATAGGCAAATAATAATATTCAAACTATGGGTGTATGCTCTGACTTAACTTACATCTCTGCCTTGATAATCGATTGCTTTTTTTCTCTTTCTCAGGTGTTATAACCTTGAAAATTACCATGACGAAGTTTCGGATAGAGGAACTAAAAGATGCTCCCGCTAAACTTGATCCATATCAACAAGGAAAGAAGTAGATATGACCAAATACTGGACATCTTCTATGATGATTAGGCTATGTTATCAATGAAAATAATTTATTTTTGTGCATTTCTTCATGTAAATTTATATGACAATGGTGAGTCAACTGATTTATGTACTCTTTGCTAACATAATTGTCTTGGATAAATTTCACAAATCTATCCGAAGAAGAAATTGTTGCTATGGAAAGGTGGCAAATATTGTGGATGAAATTTAAAAGTATATTGTATTATAGGAGAAAAAAGATAAAGGGTTAAAGCTGGTTTTTTTTGTTGAACTTATGTTCTACACATGTTTGTTTTTGGCTTGCGTTTTTGAGCTATGATACCGGGTGATATCACATTGGCTCTTTGGTGATTGGAGATGAACATTTTTTAAAACTTTACACGTATAGTTAAATGACAATCAGTTTTGTTAGATATACATATTCTCTATTGTTATACTCCCTCTGTCTCTTAAAAATTTGCCAAAATTGATCGGCACGGAGAATAATAAAGTTAAAATTGTGTGGTTGAGATTTGTGTAGAGGAGAGAGAAATAACAGAAACCACAAAATAATTGATTAAAAGGGAAAGTGACAAAGTTTTTTGAGACGTCCCAAAAAGGAAATATGACAAAGTTTTAAGGGACGGAGGGAGTATCATTTTAGAACTACAAAAAATTAATGGTGTTGTTAAACTCCGTGGTTTACATGTTGATGAGCTACATGTGCTATAGTTTTGGGATGATGAGTTGAACCTAATTTAATGCCAAATATTGACTCAAAATCATGAGAACTATCAGAAATTTGAAAACCACAAACTCTTTTATCATTGGAATTGAAAAAGTGATGAACTATGAGATTTCTGATTATTCACTTATAGGTGTGACTTTTGTAGTATTGTGTTTACCATTGTAAATTATATTAATTGATCGGTTTCATAATATATTCTTACTGGTTAAACATCATGAAACCACTGATCTTCATGAATCATGACTCATCATCTCATGAGTATTGGATGGCCATTTGGATGTGGAGATTCCATTGATATATGGTGGCGAAAGGTGCGCTCTCAAGTCTACAAAAAAATGAGAGTTTGGTGTTTGGTTTGTTCCAATCCAAATATTTGATGTACTTTATTATAACAATCATAGACCATATACTTTATAACACGATAGTTGAGTTAAAAAATACAACTATAATCGATGAAACATTTCTCCTGCAACACACTGGTCAGTTCCTATGCAATGTGTGAAATAATGAAACAGGATACTCTCTAGGAGTCCTGGCAGTTATATTTATAATAAGGAAGAGTTTAATGTAGAGTACAATTCTAAGCCTGTAATAATTCTATTACACCCCCTCAAAATGTGCGGGAGATACAACGCGCAGGTTGTCTTTTAAAAAATGAAAACGCTGACTAGAAAGACTCTTGGTAAAAATATCTGCCAACTGCAAATGTGTAGGAACATGTTTGACAATCAAATCTCCATGAGCAACACGTTCGCGAACGAAATGGTAGTCAATCTCAATGTGCTTACTGCGGGCATGCTGAATAGGATTAGCAGTCAAATAAGAAGCTGATACGTTATCACATAATAAATGAACTGGTTCGGTTATGGGGAAACCGAGCTCAAATAGAACCGAACGAATGTGTAACGTATCCTGAACAGTATAGGCAATTGCTCGATACTCGGCCTCTGTAGAAGACTTGGACACAGTTGGTTGCTTCTTCGATTTCCAGGATATCAGATTAGGACCCATAAATACTGCAAAACCTGTGGTTGACCGAGAAGAGTCTGGACACCCTGCCCAATCTGCATCTGAATAGGCAAGAATACACGTGGGTTTGGCCGAATGCTGAAGCCAAAGACCATGCTCTCTAGTACCCTGTAAATACCTGAAAATCCTTTTGACTGCAAAAAGGTGAGTAGTACGGGGAGCATGCATAAACTGAGACACCAAGTGGACTGCATAAGTAATATCCGGCCGTGTCAAAGTTAAATACTGTAGCGCACCTACCATGCTTCGGTATTCAGTGGAGTCTGAGAGCAACTCACCATCAGATAGGGATAAAGTGGTGCGAGACGCTAAAGGTGTGCGAACGGGTTTAACGGTATGGAGATGAAAGCGAGCGAGAAGATCAGACACATATTTAGATTGAGAGAGAAAAAGACCATTACCAGATCGATGGGACTCAATTCCCAAGAAATAATGTAAATCACCAAGATCCTTCATGGCAAAATGATTAGAAATAATAGAGATAAACTTGGTAATGGCGGATGGAGAATTACCAGTAATAATAATATCATCTACATATAATAATAAATAAATGATATAATTATTATGGCGATAAATAAATAAGGAATTATCAGACTTACTACAGCAAAAACCTTGCTGAAGAAGAAAGCTACTAAATCTATGAAACCATGCCCGTGGTGCTTGCTTAAGGCCGTAAATGGCTTTTCGCAAACGACAAATATGATTAGGGAATTGTGGATGTATAAAACCACGGGGTTGACGCATATAGACTTCTTCAGTAAGATTTCCATGTAAAAAGGCATTTTTAACATCAAGTTGACGAATTACCCAGCCAAAGGAGACAGCAAGAGTGAGAACAATACGAACAGTAGTTGGTTTAATAACAGGACTAAACGTTTCAGAAAAATCAATCCCAACCTGTTGATTAAATCCCTGTGCAACTAATCTAGCCTTATGGCGCTCAATGGACCCATCAGAATGATATTTTGTTTTATAAATTCACTTACAACCAACTATATTCTTAGTACTGTCAAAGGGCACCAGATCCCACGTATTATTATTAATGAGAGCATTAAATTCGTCTGCCATAGCCTCTCGCCATTTAGTCTGTTTATTAGCCTCAGTAAAGCATTTAGGGTCTGCTGAATTAACAATTGTACTTAAATTAAAAATTGTTTTTGGTTTAAAAATTCCCGATTTAGCACGGGTTTGCATGCGATGCATGTTGACCACGGGTAGCGGAGTAGAGACATGAACTTCCGAGAGAGGAGTGGCAGGAAAAGATCTGGCTGGGGAGGCGGGAGGACTCGGGTCAGTTGTTTCGGAGCTGCCCGAGGACGTTGAAGGACTGTGGGTAGATGGCATGTGTGGTACCGAGGGAGTGGATGTGATCGGACTGGCCGGAGCTAACGGAAGCGAAAAGATAGGTGAAACTACGGCAGAGCTATGCGGTTGTTGGTCTGCCGAAGGAGAAAAAGATGGGCTGGAAGTGAGGGAGAGAGGTGAAGAAGTGCGGTGGGCAGTATCTGGTGAGGAGGGACTAGGTAGAATAGTAGACCGGGGTATGGAGATGGTTTTAAATGGGTAAATATCCTCATGGAACCTAACATGACGGCTAACATAAACACGGCCAGTGATAGGATCAAGACAACGGTAGCCCTTATAACCAGATGCATAGCCAATAAAAACACACTGGACAGATCGGGGAGATAGTTTATTGGCTGAGGTGGCGGAAAAATTCGGGTAACATGCCGAACCAAAAACTCGCATGAAAGAATAATCAGGAATCCGATGAAATAAAATTTGGTAAGGGGAGAGGCCATTTAAAGTGGGAGTGGGTAATCTGTTAATAATATATGCAACAGTAAAAATAGCATCAACCCAGAATGTACTCGGAACTGATGCCTCAAGAAGCATTGTTCGAGTTAATTCAAGGAGATGACGATGCTTACGTTCAGCAACTCCATTTTGCTGAGGTGTGTCAGGGCATGATTTTTGAAAATAAATACCATTGGATGAGAACAATTGCTGCATATTATGATTAACAAATTCACCACCACCATCACTTTGAAAAATTTTAATTTTCTGATTAAATAGATTTTCAACCAAAGCTTTAAAATTTTTAAAGTGCATAAAAACTTCACTTTTGTGATGCATTGGATAAATCCAGCTAAAACGAGAAAAATCATCAATAAATAAAACGTAATATTTGAAGCCTAAATTAGAGCCAACAGGAGATTGCCATACATCAGAATGAATAACTTGTAATGGAAGAAAAGAATTATGACTAGCATCCTCAAAGGGCAAACGTTGTGATTTTCCTAATCTACAAGCAACACACTCATGAGTAAAGGGAGAATGACTACATAAAAATTGTTTTCGTTTAAGAAATTGCAAAACACTGTCACCACAATGACCTAATCTACGATGCCACACAGGGCCAGAAGCTAAGACAGACGCGAGAACTAATGAGGATGATGATGGCAGACGCAGAGGATATAGAGGTCCTTGACTATTAGCACGCAGAAGTTCCATCCCCGTGGCCTTGTCCTTAATCAAAAATGAATTTTTATCAAAAATAACAACACAATTGTTATCAGCACATAATCTTTGAATTGAAATTAAATTATACTTTAATTGAGGCACGTGATAAACAGAGTTTAATGTGAGAGGACGACTAGACGAAGGTAAAGCAACATCACCAACATGATGAATGGGTAAATGGGCACCATTAGCAACACTGACAGAATTATAACCATTGTAAATGGATTTATTTATTAAATTACCTTCTGAGCCAGTCATATGAGCAGAAGCTCCCGAGTCAGGATACCATAAAGCCGAATTAGATTCACCAGATGTGGTCAACAGGGCAGGACTGGTAGGCTGAGCAAAACGAGATGGACAAGCAATAGCGGAATGACCTGCAGAGAAACCAATTTGACAGACAATAGGATGGGGAACCACTCCAAGTATACCCCCATCTGATGAAGAGCCTGCAGAACCAAAGTTAGAAGCACAAATAGGTAAAGCATTAATATTTAAAGTTGACACAGTGGAATTACGAAAAACAGTACCCAAATGTTGTCCAGCCGAGAGACCACCCCCTGCCGCAGAACCATTCCCAGCAGCTGACATTGACGGCGGTGGACCATACGAAGGGTACCAGTGCACCGGCTGACCATATTGCACTGGATGCGGGCCATGACCCCGGCCACGAGCTCCACGACCTCTGCCGCCCCGTGTCCGACCGCCACGGCCGCGTTGATGAGAGGCCGAAGGGCGCTGTTGCTGCTGCTGGCCACCCGGATGCGGCACCTGTTGTGGATTATTCGGTGGCAGCTGTGCACCAAATGCTTGATGGGCCGGCAGATTCTCCTGGGATCGAAGGTAGATGACTCGCTGCTCTAGTTCCAGGAGATGATTCCGGAGTGCCTCAAACGGAAAATTGTGAGAAAAAAGAGAGACTGTTGTGACCAAGGACTCATACTCACGGCCAAGTCCCATAATGGTGGTTTTGAGCAGGTCACGTGGAGAAACAGGGCAATTAATAGTGGCAAGATCATCAGCCAAAATCTTAATTTCGCATAGATACGCATCCATAGATTGTTCAGGTTTCTTTTTAATTTGGGAAAATAAACGCTGTAATTCCATTGACCGAGCCAAACTGGCAGACATGAATCGAGATTCTAAACGCTCCCAGATTTCAAAAGAATGTTTTAGGTCACGAACATCAATAAGAATATCCCGAGAGAGGGTTGCAAATAACCAAGACCGGATGGTTTGATCAATTCGCAACCAGACAGAATATTCGGGATTGGGAGACTGATGATTTAGAATATCAATGGAATAAGCGGAAGGTACCTGAAGAGTGCCATCAACCATGCCCAGAAGTCCTTGAGATACAAGAAAAGATTCAAATTGAGTCCGCCACGTGGTATAGTCTTCGACAGCCAGGAGTTTTGTAGTAACAATATTTGTGACATTAGTAGCCACATGAGAAATAGTGTGAGCAAGATCAAATAATAGAGAGCCACCCGTAGGTGGTTCTGCGGACCGAAGAGGTTGAACTGTGGTAGAGACTCCTGGCGAACCAACAAGCGTAGGGCCGGAGAAGGAGCTTGTTGAGAAGGGAGGCGGTTCCAAGGGGACTGACTGCACGGTTGAAGGAGGCTGCCACGGGAAAGCTGGAGGCATGTGTTGGAACAGTGAGTATGGGATGCTGCGACTTGGGGATATGTAGTGGGAGGGAAATGTTACGCCGGAATTAGGTGGAGTAGTTGCCGGCGGTATGGCAGCAGTAGAAGACGAGCAGTGAACGGCAGCCATGGTGGACGACACCGCCGAAGAAGGAGATGCGGCGTTCGTGGGTGCTGACGAACTCATGGCGGCGGCGGTGGGAGATTAGGGTATGCCGAGAGAGAGAGAGAAGAAAAAAAAATAGGGTTTATTCTGTGCTCTTGATACCATGTGAAATAATGAAACATGATACTCTCTAGGAGTCCTGGCAGATATATTTATAATAAGGAAGAGTTTAATGTAAAGTATAATTCTAAGCTTGTAATAATTCTATTACAATGTTCATGAATAAGAGCAGTGGCGGAACCAGAACTTTTTTCGAGCAGGTGCCGAAAAATGTGTATTAAATGTTTCAAGTGCTTTCCTCCAATTACTAAACCCCACCTCAGTGAATGCCACTTCCCCAGCCCAACATCCTCTATTTGAATTTTTGAAGAGAGCACCATAGACAAAAAGCGGCATCTTTTGATATGTTATATTCTAACCATGGATATTAGTCAAACTAAGAGGGTTGAAAGCTTATATAATCGGTCCCATATTTTTTACGGGGATAAACATGCCCAACCGGTTTACAAGGACCCCTAGTTAAGTATTCTCAGCGGACAAGATCTCTATTCAAAGGATAAAAATCATTAATAGGTCTACGTAAACCTGGATCGGCAACCACATTTTCGGGATTTAGTTCAACATGTAATAGTTTTGTCCTTTTATTTTCTTCAGAAGGACTTTTTGAAGACTTTACATTCGGTATTAAGAATTTCAACATTCTTAACCTAACAAATTGTACAACAATAAATTCATATATTAATTAGTCTTGATTTGTATGTAATCACTACATTCACTATTAAATTAATAAGACAATTTAGTTAAAAAATGTATATTGAATTACCAAGATTTTAATTTAAATTAAAAGGAGAAAAATAGGAAAACTGAGATTTTGAGAACCTACGGTCACACTGTCACAGGGGCGGGCGGCGAAAGAACGGCGGTCGGCGAGCTGGAAGATGACGGTCCGGTGTGGCGATGCTACTTTTTGTGCTTGGTTGCTTCACTGCTTGCGCAAGGCGCAGGGGCGGAAGGCGCAGGGACGAAGAGTTGAAGACTCGAGACTGGAACATAAAAGACCATTGGATTTCGGCTGCAGGCTGCTGGTCATTGGGCCTTCTTTGGCCCGATAGCCCTTTAATTTTTTTCACAGCCTGTTTCAAAAACGACGTCGTACCTTTTAAAATTAATAAGGTCTAATTTTTTTTGTACGCTTGCTTCTTCCCTGTCCTCCAGCCGACAAACAGAGCTGGTAATTGCAGATTTGCAGCTCTCCAACTCTCCAAGAGGTCAACAACTCGACGCCTCGACGGAAAATTGCAACTGACTAGTCTGGCGGCATATGCGCCCCTGGGTGCTGGTAATAAAACTACGGCCGGAGAGCAGGGGCGCTGGAAAACTATACATATATATACCTAGACTACTCCGGCGAAGGGGGAGCGCCGACACTGGCTCCCCCCCCCCCCCCCCCCCCCCCCCCGGGTCCGCCGCTGAATAAGAGTCAAGGACAATCATTATAAAATGTGAATGTCTCTCTACGACGTTTAGTTTTTACACATGGACAGTTATATGCTGCAGTTTTAAGGGTGACAAGTCTGTCCAGCTTAAAGTTCGTGATATGCGACCGATAAAGTATATAGACGGTTCCTATAATTCCATCGGCGATGATGAGGGAAATCAGAAAGAGGTAAGGGTCAGATTGGTCCTCGTAGTTGCATAAAAAGGGTCAAATAAGTCCTTATATAGGAGGCTCTGTTCGGCCATCGCCATTCGGGACAGTTCCCGGTGAAATTTTTTGAGCATCTTATTTATTAACTCTAGTTTACTCATACTAAATTTCAGCTAAAACTTCAATCGATAAGGCATTCAAATGAAGTCTTGAAGATAACTGCGCAGTTAAAAACGCAGTTACCTTCAATAATTCATTTGAATGCCTTCGCGATTGAATTTTTAGTTGAAATTTGGTATGAGTAAGCTAGACTTAATGAATAAGATTCTCAAAAAACTTCATAAAAAATTTCCACCGGGAACCTACCCAAATGGCGATGGCTAGACAGTAAGGACTTATTTGACACTTTTTATGCAATTTCGAAGATCAATCTGACCCTTACCGCAAAAAATGTTGTCTACTAAGAAGTGTTTAATAAATTGTAAATTGTGTGCCTATTAAACTTCAAATGTTTGTTATTATATACTCTGTGTTTATTAAACTTCAAATTATAATCTATAATTTATAATATTTGTATTCTACATCCCGTGCAACGCAAGGATGAAAGAAAAAAAAAGATGGGGTGAAAAGGAAAGAAAGAAAAAGGTAGAAGAAGATTTGAAAATGAGAAAAGGAAAATAAAAACAAATGAAAAATTCAAATAAAGATATAAAAAGGACTACAATAAATAGGAATACATAAAAAGGAAAGAAATATAAATGGTGGAGAAGAAAAAAGGAAAAACTATCGAAAGAAAATACAACAACAACAACAACATTTAAGCCTTACTCCCAAAATATCGAAATAAAATCCTATACAAATAAACTCTTATGGTAGTAAATAGATAAAGGAATACATAAACAAGGTAAATAAATGAAAATAAAAAAGAAGAAAAATGAATAAAAGCATTTGAGGATAAAGAAAAAGAGAGAGAAAAGTTTAAATAAGAAAAAAGAAAAATCATTGTGTAACCGCTTTGAGAAGATTTGTGGAATGTAGAATTTATGGTTTAAGGGTTTGTAAAGATAGAAAATAAAAAATCCGGAATACCAAAGGTCTGATTATTCCTACATTAATATTATGTGGGATTATTCTAAAAAAACGGTAAAAAGGTGAGATTATTGATTTCCATTTCCTCAAAATTTTATGAGGTGAAGTGAGTATACATAAATTAAAATGTTTCTCAAATATTACTACTTTTAATTTTTTTTAAATTTACTCCATTATGTAATAAAGTAAAAACTATGTGGTTGAGTTTGTAGAGTTCTTTCCCCGGAATAATGCTAATTAAATAAATAATTACCAAAATACGGTTGGGTTTAAAATAATTTCCAAAATACTGCTAGGTTAACCGTGGTTAAGAAAAGCCGTCACTTGAAGTGGCGGCTCTTATCTTATAGTACAAAAGCCCCCACTACAAGTGGCGGCTCTTCTCTTACGGCACATTTTGTACATATATAAAACACAGTATGTTTCAAGAATTTGTTTAACTGCCTTCCCGGTTGAATTTTGAGCTGAAATTTGGTATGCATAAACTAGAATTGATGAGGAACATGATCAAAACATCTCATCAAAAAGTTCCACCGGAAAGACCCTCTGATGGTGTTGTCCGCAGGGAGTTTCGGTCAGGACGTCATGACAAAAGGGTGGTCCGGCCACCTTAGTTTGAGGTGGTTCCCAATGGTATGTTTTAATGATTTTTTTTGCGTATGTTCTTCATAAAGTCTAGTTCATCCATACCAAATTTGAGCAAAACTTTCGATCAGAAATGTCGTCAAATGATTTTTGAAAGATAACTGCGCCGAATTATACATATAAAACATAGTTATGTTTACAAAATTATTTGACTACTTTCCTAATTGAAATTGGTTCTTAAATTTGGTATAGATTAACTACACTTGATGAATAACATACACACAAAAATTCAGCAAAACATACCACCGGAAACCATCTAAAATTGAGGTGGTCGGACCACCCTTTTGTCATGACGTACTGACCGGAACCCTTGCGGACAACACCATCAGAGGGTTTTCCCGGTGGAATTGTTTGATGAAATGTTACTTGATGTTCCTCATCAAGTCTAGTTTATGTATACCAAATTTCAGCTCAAAATTCAATCGGGAAGGTAGTTAAACAAATTTTTGATACATACTGCAATATGTATAAAATGTGTCGTAAGAGAAGAGCCGCTACTTGGAGTGGCGGCTTTTGTAGTACTCCCTCTGTTCTTTATTAAGTGTCTCGCATTCCTTTTTGGGACGTTTTTAATTATTTGTCCCTCTTTTCCTTTTTGGTAAGTTTTTCAATCAAAATATCTTTATACCCCCACTTTTATTACCAGTACCCCTTTCTCTTTCCTACTTTTTCATTTACCCACAATCCACTGCACCTTTTACACTACCCCTATTATTTTCCTTTTAAAACTCGTGCCAAAGCCTAAGAGGACTCATATTTAAGAACGGAGGGAGTATAAGAGAAGAGTCGTCACTTCAAGTGGCGACTTTTCTTAAACACGATTAATCTAACAGTATTTTGGGAAATATTTTAAATCCATAAGTATTTTGGGAATTATTTATTTAATTAGCATTATTTCAGGGCGAAACTCAAGTTTGTACCTATGAGAGAAAATTAAATGAAATTATAATTTTTTTACATAGTGAAATTAACAAAGTTAGTGAAACAAAGTTTTGGTAGGAGGAAGGGATTACCATTAGCCGCCGCTAGTCCTGGAAGTCAAAGACTAAAACCATCCGGAGCAGCCCGGAATTGGTCATTTAGGAGCAGCAGCAGCAATTGAGAGAGTATTAATTTTTCCGCCTTCCTCTGAAAGTAAATAAATGTGCTAAATCGATGCCTCATGACGCTAGTTTTGCCGCAGCTCGAGTTCTCACCTGATGAATTTGTAACTCTGCATCTTTACAAGCTATTTTCGATCTAATGGCTACCCATCCTTCTCTTCGAAGAACACCTACGTCGGATCTAATAAGTCACCTGCCAGAAGATGTAAAGCACAGGATATTAGAGCGTCTAGATACTCGTGAAGCGGCCAAAACTGCTCTTCTCTCCAAAACTGCTCGTCCCCCACCTGAAATTTACCGGGAACGTACCTTGGCGTCATAGTATGATTTTACTTGACGCCGGTAGTTCTCTGCTCGGACGTAAGCTTGCTCACGCCTCTCATCGACCAAGTGTAGGTCAATCTTCATGTTTTCTTTGTTGGCGTCAGGCTCGTATTGTTCCACCCGTCGGCTGGAGATGGCAACTTCCGTGGGCGCCTTTGCCTCAAAGCCGTAGCATAGGGCGAAAGGCGTTTCACCTGTCGCCCTCCTCGGCGTGGTTCTGTAGCACCACAGGATGTTGGGGAGCTCGTCGACCCAACTACCTCCTGCGGCCTGGAGTTTCTTCTTCAGTCCCTCCATGATTGTCCTATTGGCGTTCTCGACCTGTCCGTTGCCCTGAGGGTAGGCAACGGAGGAGAAACGATGCTTCACCCCAAATTCCCGGAGGAGCTCCTGAAAAGGGGCTGCCTCGAATTGGGTGCCGTTGTCTGATATAATCTCCTGGGGGACGCCGAAGCGTGTGATGATGTTTTTGTAAACAAATTTTTGGCATCTGGCCCCCGTGATGCTGGCCAGGGGTTCCGCCTCGACCCACTTGGTGAAGTAGTCGACGGCGACGATGATGTAGCGGTTGTTCCCGGCGGCTCTGGGCAGGGCGCCGACCAGGTCAATCCCCCATCTAGAGAATGGAATTGCGGTGCTGACGGGGGCGTAGTTGACGGCTGGCCGACCAGGGGCCTTCTGGAGCACCTGGCACGTGGTACACTTCCTGTCCAGGTCCGCACAGTCTCGCGCCATCGTCGGCCAGAAGAAGCCCTGGACGACGAGACGTCGGGACATGCTGAAGGGGCCCTGGTGCGAGGAGCAGACGCCACAATGAACTTCTTCCATGGCCATGTCGGCCTCATCCTGGTGCAGGCATCGGAGGAGAGTGCCATTATAGGATCGTTTGTAGAGTTTGCCATCTTCAATGGTGTAGCTTGGGGCCCTAAGTTTGGCAAGTTTGGCCCTCTCCTCGTCCGGGGGTAGCTCCCCTACCGTGATGAAGGTGACGATGTCGGAGATCCAGTCCTCTGGTCGCTGTTGGATGCATAAGATGGGGCTGGCATGAATGCTAGACATGCTCAGCTCTTCGATGTTCGCTATCCTGGAGATGTGCTCTGGAGTGTCTGAGCTGAGCTTGGAGAGGGTGTCGGCTTCGGCGTTCTCGGCCCTTGGGATCTGAGTGATCTCGTGGGTTTCAAACGCTTTCAGTAACTCATCTGCTGCCTGTTTGTACTGTCGCATCCGTCCCTCCTTTGCTTCGTACGATCCCTCCACCTGGCCCACTACCAGTTTGGAGTCGCACTTGATTTTGAGGTGCTTGGTCTTGAGGCCGGCGGCGAGTCTGAGACCGCTGAGGAGGGCCTCATACTCGGCTTCGTTGTTGGATACCCTGAAGTTGAAGCGGATGGCATAGTAAGCTCTGAATCCTTCAGGGGATATGAGGACGACGCCGCCACCGCATGATTTCGCGGCCGACAAGCCATCAGTGAATAGGATCCATGTATCGTCCGGCTCCGGCCCGGGGTTGACGACGGCCGTCTCCCTTGCTGTGCATTCAGTGACGAAGTCGGCCAAGGCTTGCCCTTTGATAGATGGCCTTGGCTTGATCTCAATTTGAAATTGGCCAAGGAAGATCGCCCATTTCACCATCCTAGAGGAGCTGGTGGGGCTCCTCATGAGTGCACCGAGAGGCTGCTGGGTTAGCACATGGACGGCATGGGCCTGGAAGTAGTGTCCCAGCTTCTTCACCGTATGGACGATGGCCAACACCGTCTTCTCAATGGGGGAGTACCTGAGCTCGGCCTCCCTGAGTGTCTTGCTGATGTAGAAGATGGCCTTTTGCACCCCTTCATCCTCACGGATGAGCACGGAGCTGATGGCCGACGTGCTCACCCCTAAGTATAGGAAGAGGGTTTCGCCAGCTTTGGGCTTGGAGAGCATGGGCGGGGACGATAGGTACCTCTTCAACTCTTCGAACGCTTCCTGGCACTCCGTCGTCCACTTGAAGCTGTTGGCTTTACGCATGATCTGAAAGAAGGGAAGTGCCCTCTCGGCTGACCTGGAGAGGAACCGGTTCAGGGCCGCCAGGCACCCCGTCAGTCGCTGTACTTCCTTGACGTTGCGGGGCGGCTCCATGTTGATGATAGCCTGTGTCTTCTCCGGGTTTATCTCGATGCCTCTCCGGCTGACCATGTAGCCGAGGAACTTGCCGCCCTGGACGCCGAAGGCGCACTTCTTGGGGTTGAGGCGGAGCCTGAACTCCTTCATGATTTCAAAGATTTCCCGGAGGTCCTCGGCGTGGGAGGAGGCCTGCCTGCTCTTGACGATCATATCGTCGACGTATGCCTCCATTGTCCGGCCGAGGACCGCCCTGAAGATCTTGGCCACCATCCTAGTATAGGTGGCGCCGGAGTTTTTGAGTCCGAAGGCCATGACGAGGTAGCAAAAGATTCCCTCTGGGGTCATGAATGTCGTCTTCTCAGCGTCATCTTCATGCATGGAGATTTGGTGGTACCCTCTGAAAGCGTCAAGGAACGACATCAAGTCGCACCCCGCCGTCTCGTCCACCAGCCGATCAATGTTGGGGAGAGGGAACGGGTCCATGGGGCACGCCTTGTTCAGGTCAGTGTAATCAACACACATCCTGAATGTTGGCGGTTTCTGGGCGAGGACGACGTTGGCCAACCACGTCGGGTACTTCACCTCTTTAATGTGTTTGATTGAGAGGAGCATGGCGCATTCCCCCTTGACGAAGTCCCGCCTGTCGGCGGACAAGTAGCGCCGCTTCTGCTTGACGGGCGTGGAGGCCGGATCAACGGTCAGCCGGTGAGTAATCACCTGGCGGCTGATTCCTGGCATGTCATCCGGGCCCCACGCGAAGACAACGGTGTATGACCGCAGGACGAGGAGGATGGCGTCTCGTTGGTCCTGAGGGAGCTGCTTCGCGATTCTGAGGACCCGCTCCGACTGGGAGGTATTCAGAGGGACTTCCTCGACCTCCTCGGCCGGTTCGGCATGCGGCCTCTCCTCGTCCTTGGCGACGGCTGACGTGATGGTGTCTATCCTCTGTCCTTCCCTTTCGGCCGGCCTTGTTAGCTTGAGGTAGCATGCTCTGGCAATCCTCTGGTTTCCTCTGGCGTAGCCGATGCCGTCATTGGTGGGGAACTTTAGGCACAAGTGCTTCATGGAGATGATGGCCTCCAAGTCCTCCAGCGCTGGCCGGCCCAAGATCAGGTTGTGGGCGCACTGGAGGTTGACCACCATGAACTCCATGTCAATCCTGGCGCGGTGGGGGCCGTCACCGACCTCCACGGGGAGGACTATCGTGCCCTCGGCGTCGATAGAGTCCCCGGTGAAGCCGGATAACGGTGTCTTGATCGGCTTTAGCAGAGCTCTGTCCAGCTTCAGCTGCCGGAAGGTATCCAGGTACATCACGTTGACGGAGCTCCTCGTATCGATGTAAGTGCGGTGGATGATGGAGTCACCGATCTCACACCGGATGACAAGGGCGTCCCTGTGTGATCCCATCCCCGGAGGCAAATCCTTGTCGGTGAAGGTGATCGCCTCCGTTCGCTGCTTCTTCGGCTGGGGGGAAACGTGGGACACCTCCCCAATGTAGAGGGATTGGGCCCTATTCTTTCTCTGAGTGGCGGAGTCCCCCCCCGTGTTCCCACCTACGATGAGGTGAATGTGATTCTTCTTTGGCGGGGGCTCTTCGAAGTCCTCGTCGTCGCTGAGCCTACCAATCTCCCGCTTCTTCGCAGAGGGTTCGCCCCCATGTTTGCCGGTGTTTACCCATGTGTTTTTGCGTGGGCCACCTTTAACAAACTGGGAGAGTTCCCCCTGGCGATTAAGGCGCTCGATGGCCTTCTTCAGTGTGATGCAATCGTCGGTGTTGTGCGACGAGTTCTTGTGGAACCGGCAGTATGTGCCGCCCTGCTGGATGGCAAGGACCTCCTCGGCCGGCCGAGGGGCCTGCTCGATGAGGCCATGCTTCTCGGCATAGTCGAGGATGATGCCGACCGGGTGAGTGAGGGTAACCCCCGGCCGTTCCAACCTCGGCCGCCAGTGGCGATCTTTCTTACTCTGTCCACCAGAGCCGTGACGGCCCTGGGCACCCTGGCCGGCCGGGGACGGACCCGGGGCCGGCGAAGGATTTGTCTTCTTGGAGGGATGGCCCCCCTCTTTCTTGTGATTGTGGATCTCTTCGGCGTCGGCATTCAAGCCTCCGCGCTGGAGCGCCTTGGCGTACGACCTCAGGGGGTCGGTGATGAGGCTCCTAGCGTACAGGGAGCTGCGGAGGGCTCCCTGATACAAGACGAGGAGGGTGCGCTCGTCGGCCCCCTCGACTTCTTCGGTCTCCCTCGTCCACCGATCAATGAATGACCGGAGGGACTCATCATGCTGCTGCTTGACGGAGAGGAGGTGGGTGAAATACTTCTTCGCACGCTTCCTCCCGGCAAAGTGGGTGAGGAAGCGTTGGGCAAGATCCTGCCATGAGTCGATGCTCCCTTCGGGGAGCGCGTTGAACCACTCGTACGCTGGCCCCTCGAGAGTAGAGAGGAACCAACGGCAGAGGTATTCGTCGGACGCGTTCACCATCAGCATGTTGTTCTGATAACGGCTGAAGTGTTCCTGGGGGTCTGATCGGCCGTCGTAGGACTTGATGGCGTTTCCCCTATACTTCTCCGGGATGGGGGCCGAGAGGACCCTGTTGGTGAAAGGGGTCCTGGTCCTGACCTGGATAATGGGGTCACCTTGCCCCTCGGCCAGCTCCCTCTCCGGGGCGCTAACCTTGTTCATGAGCGCGTTGAGGCCGGGGTCGTTGGAGGCGCCGGCCGTAGGGATGTTGGCCGACTGCTTGGCCTCCATCTGGGCCAGCCTCCTCTCCAGCTGGGCGATGACCTCGTCCCGGGGGTCCCTGGCGGCTGCCGCGGCGCCTGGCTGGTTCCTCATGCGCTCGTTGTGAGCCGCATTGATCTGGTGGCGCACGTCGTCCTCGTGCAACTTCCCCTTGCCCTTGTCCGGGCAGGGCTGGTCCGCTGTCCGGGACACAGATCCCAAGCTTTCCCTCGGTGAGCCAGGCCGAGGCTCACCAATCCGTCCTGCCATCCTCTCCGAAACCGGACGACGGCGCGTGTCACCTAGCCTGTTGAAGGCAGAGGCTTTTCCACGTGCTGGGGTCTGCCCAGGCCGAAGAGGGGAAGCAGGGTGGGAGTGGGACGATGTCGTGTCCTGTGCCATCACCCCCTCATCGTTGCCTATCTGGACGGCCAACGGTTGGGTCTGAGGAGGTGGAGTG